GTGAAAGGAAGCTCAAAACATTTCAGGGCAAAACAATGAATGACCTTTAGAGGGAAAATGTTGAAGAAGTGAGTCGTGCAGAGGAGAAAGTTTCATCCTTAAAAACCTGAGATCACAGAAACAGAATGGTTTGGGTTGGAAGGACTTTAAAGCTCATCCATCCCACCCCCTGCCACAGGCAGGGACACTTTCCACTAGACCAGGTTGCTCCAAACCCCGTCCAACCTGGCCTTGGACACTTCCAGGGATGGAAAAACCCCAAGGATTGTTACCATTGTTAGTGGTAAGTTCTCAACCACGGGGAATTCCTACATTTGACCTTCTAAAAGTATGATCTAAATGCTGGTGGGACTTTCACTGCTTTACCTTCTCCATCCTGCCCAACAGTCAGTGGGCAGGGAGGTGTTTTTAAGGCTGTTGCAAAGGGGTGTTATGGGCAAAGTAATTCTGTATCTCCTGGTGTCATGAAATCCAGATCAGCTGCTGCACTTGGAAGATGCTTTTGTCAGTCCCAGAGGCAAACCTGAATATCTCCCAGGGTCAAAACAGTTAAAGTGGTCTTTTCCTGGGTTTAATTTTTAGTTGTGGGGTAAGTAAGTATGAAGACATGTTAAGGAAATGTCACTTTTTCAATGTTCTCATGATTTTTGTCTGACTTTGCCTCCTTTTTTATCTCTCACTGTGAATATACCTCAATAGAATACTTGGGTAGAGCTGTGACAGAGGGACAAAGAGAGTCACAGAGATACTTAGAGAAGCAAAGTATATCTTTAATGAGTGACAGAAATGCAAAAAACCCCATCTAATTGCTGTGGGGATTTTCAGGTGAAGTCCCACATGACAGAGGAGCTGCTCCAGCAACTCCTGATTCCGAGAGAGAAATCCTGGCACTTACTTTCTGCTGACTTTTGTGGCACAGAAACATGGACATGTTGAGGCTGGAGGAGACCTTTGGAGGTCACCTGGGCCAACCTCTCTGTGGTCAGTCAGGGCCACCTGGAGCTGGTTGCCCTGTACCATGAGCAGTTGTGTTTGGAGCACAATCCACCCATTTTTTCAGGAGTAGTGATCCCCTCTTGGGGTGGAAGAGAGTCACCTGCAGCTCTTCCCCATGAGTTGGTGAATGTTTGTGCCTTGCTTTGGTTTTACCACTTGGTGACCTTAAGATACCTCTTTTGGGAGGAGATTTAATGTCTAAATGAGTTATGTCAGCATGGGAATAATGGAATCTCAAATGGATGAGGTAGGAAATTGAGTCTTGAAAAACTGTGTTGGGTTTTTGAATTGTACCCCAAAATTGTCCCGTGTTAAACCAACTGTAGTTTATTTATAGACTCTTCAATAACCACCATGTCAAGTAGTTTTTCTGCTTGGAGTTAATAATTTCTGTGATGCTTGGAAAAGTCATGGAATCACAGGATGGTTTGGGTTGGAAGGACCTTAAAGTCCATCCAGTTCCAACCCCCTGCCAAGGGCAGGGACACCTTCCACTGTCCCAGGTTGCTCCAAGCCCTGTCCAACCTGGCCTTGGACACTTCCAGGGGTGGGGTATCCACAAAACATCCTTTAAAAAGAAATCCACTTGAAACAAAGCCATTTTGAAGGAGAAAAGTATTTCCCATCCTCACCAAATAAATAAATATATTCTTGAACTTCTTCCACTGTGTTCAGATGATGCTTTAAAGAAGTAAACCCACCTTCTTTAGGAGAAGGGAATCCATTTTTGCAGTGTCTGTATTTCCAGATAGTTCTGGGCTGGGAACCCTTTGAGTGCAAATATACATAAAGGTGTATATTTTTATGCCATCCCTAAACTAACATCAGGTCAGGCCTATTTGTAAGATAATTTCACTCACTCCCAATCCATAATCTCTTAATGTATAGAGATCTTGGCATGCTTTTAGTTTTCTGTCACTTTTTAAGAACCTGTGATCACTTGAACTTGCAGTGCTCAGAAAGGAAAATCAGTGATTGACTGCACCCTGTTCCTTAGATATTTCTATCCTGTGGAAGTTCTGGATGTGGGTTTTAGTCCTCCCGTGGTGGCCAGCAGATCACTTACCTTTTTGGATGTCTAGAACTCTCCTTTATGAGCCAAAAATCAATCTCTGAGCCACCAGAGGGTTTGTGAACCTCAATTAATGGGTGCACACAAACGTCCCCATTTCTGGAGCGACTCCTCGACCTAAAACTAAAGGAGGTCAAGATTTCTATTCTAAAGAAAGTTCTTCTTTCTCCCCTCATTTCTTCCTGACCTGTCACCAGGTGTTTCCAGGCAGTTCCAAGTGTTCCCTTGGGATTAGATGTCCCGGGGTGGGATTGCAGGTGTCACGGAGCAAAGTCTGAGATGTGGCAAGGGCAGGTATTTCATCAGGGCTTGTTTTTGTTGATAGCCAGTGCTGCTCTCAGCAACAAGTCCATGAACTCCAGTGCCTTCATTTCAGGGACAGGAAGAAGTTGTAAACATGGAATTCCTTGGCTGCTGCTCCTGGTGGTTGCAGATCTTCAACTTTTGACCCGGGTGGTTGTTGCTTGTCGCTGACGTGGGCGAGGGTTGGTGCCACCATCAGGACATGACTGAAGTGCCTTTGTTTGGGATGAGTTGGCCAATTCCCACCATCTCCTTGTCATCCTTCATGTCCTCCCCTGGTCAGGCTCTTGTGTCTCCTCACGGCCCTGAGATTTGGGGTTAAATCCCTTTATTTTTCTGGTTTAGAGAAAGGTTCTCATTGGACGTGGTTTGGGTTCTCCTCTGTTGACATCCCTTTTTGTGGGGGACTTCCCATGGGATACGGTTTGGATTCGTGTCTGTTGACATCCCATTTTGTGGGGGACTTCCCTCCAAACAAACAGGGACCTGTTTGTGAAGCACAAACAGCAAATCTCCCCAAAAATTTAAACGGAATGAATAAAATGGTCTTGGGAGGGACGGGGTGTGCAAGCATGGAAAGCTTCAAGTGGAACTGAAATCTTGGATTTACAGCTGCTCTTCTGTGGGATAATTATATTTGTGATACTTTTCTACTTTACTTTTTTATTTTAAGTGTGTGTAGTGCACTCAGGTTATTATTATTCAGTTTATCCTCAGATTTGTTGTGATTTTCGGAGTGTCAGAAGGTCCTATAAAGTCAAACTGTAAATGGGAACCCCACACTACCAGGATTTTTGGGTGTACATATGTGAGTTTCTGCTTTTTTAGGGATCCAAGTGCAGAATCTTCAAAAATTAAATTTGTTTTTATTAAGTTGTGTAATTTGCCAGATATCTGTCTGTTGTAAACCTGTGGCTTGGGGTAAAAAAGTACAAGAAATAAACTTTTTAAAGTAACTGGCTCCAATCTAGATTAATGGTATTTTTGACTGTCTGATTTAAATATTGTTTTGACTTTTACTTCAGTCACCAAGATGTTGCTAAGTGAGATTATGGGTTTTTTTCAAGAATTAAAAGAGCAGAAAGTAGAGATCCTGGAGGATGTCTTACATATGCTCTTCCATTCTTACAGGAGTGTTCAGTATATATTAAAAAGTAACTGTACACTAAATTTATCAGGTTCTAGAGGTGGAAGATTAACTCTGATTCTCAGTTTTGAATGGACATTTTACAGAAGAGTTAAAAGTAATTTTCTGTGCAGTGTTAACTTAAAATGGTGTAGTCGGGAATTTATTTTATTTTCATTTCTGAGACCATTTTGAGACTTTATCCTGTTATCAGAGGCACAATAATTCACACCAAAAAAAGGAGTTTTCCTATATCTCATCATTATATATATGTAATTTCATCATTTCATGTATAGCATCATTATTGTTCTGGAGGAAAACACCAGTGGCCTGGCAGTGGGTATTTCACCCCTTTTAAAGTCATAATAATTATCCTATATGCAGCCTTTCTCCTGTATAGCTGTTTGAATAGTATTTTGACTTCTTTATTGAATGTATTTGTGTATAATCAGTGTAAGATGACTTTTGATTTCATCCCATGCAGTTCTGTTGCCCTGACAGGGCTGAGTCAATGATCCAGTGTAATTTTCAATGTTTTATTTTTTTTTTCTTGTCATAGTTATTCTTAAGAAAGCCCAAACTGATAGTCTTAGTTCATCTGCTGTTTTCTACTGTTTATGTTTCCTTGCAGGGTTTTGCTTGTAAAGGAAATGGGGATTTCCCTTCCTTGGTCAGGTGCTTGGCTGTTTAACACCTTCCTTCTAAATTTAATCTTTACCAATAATTCTACTTTGAGATTGCAGCTGCTGTTTGTTTGCAGGGAGACACAAAAACAGAGGGCAGGGAATCCCAGAATCATCAAGGTTGGAAGGGACCTTCAGGATCATCCAATCCCACCAGAATCCCCCCTAATCCATGTCCCAAAAGAGGAGTTGCTGGGACTGGGCACTGCCTCTGCTTTTCTTTTGGCACAGTCAGTCAGAAAGTTGCTGGGAGCAACCCTGAGAGGCACAGCTTGGGTGTTTTTCTGGCTTTTTGTGGAATCCACACACAAAATTCCTATGTTTGAAAATAACCCCTGTCAAATTCTGCTTGTGACACGTAATCGGAGAAAAGGATTCGAGTTGATGGGATGGGTTGGGTTGGAAGGGACCTTAAAGATCATCCAGATCCAACCCCCTGCCATGGGCAGGGACACCTTCCACCAGACCAGGTTGCTCCAAGTTTATCCAACCTGGCCTTGGACACTTCCAGGGATCCAGGGGCAGCCACAGCTTCTCTGGGCAACCTGGGCCAGGGCCTCCCCACCCTCCCAGCCAAGAATTTCTTCCTAATATCCCATCTAAACCTACTATCATTGAATTTGAAGCCATTCCCCTTGTCCTGTCACTCCATGCCCTCATGACAAGCCCCTCTCAGCCCTCCTGAAAGTTAATCTTTCCCACCAGGATGATTTCTGGGTTCCCTGCTTCTCAAAACTTCGGCGTACGAAAAAACCCGCCGAGCCGGGACACGGAGGGAAATCCTCTCAAACCATTCAAAACCTCCCCCTTGTCTTTGCAGGAGGAGAGACTTCAGCATGCAAACCTTCATCTGTTCGGCTTGCACCATCGTTTTCATTCCATGCTGCTGGCCTTCAGATGGCTGGACAGATGTCCCACTCCCATCAGCAGTACAGTGACCGGCGGCCGCAGAACATCAGTGACCAGCAGGTTTCTGCCTTATCCTACGCTGAGCAGCTCGAGCAGCCACTCCCACTGACAAACCAGGTGAGGGGCACACAGAGGTCCTTCAGGTGTCAGAAGTTCCTCTGAATAACAGCTGTGGAATCACAGGATGGCTTGGCTTGGAAGGGATTTGAAAGATCGTCCGGTGCCACCCCCTGCCACGGGCAGGGACACCTTCCACTAGCCCAGGTTGCTTCAAGCCTTATCCACCCTGGCCTTGGACACTCCCAGGGTTGGGGCAGCAGCCACAGCTTCTCTGGGAATTCTGTCCCAGCC